TCTCGTTGCCCAGGTGAGTCTCGAACCCGCGGGCTCAGGCAATCCACTCACCTCAGCCTCCCAAAGGCGCGGGATTACAGGCTGAGCCACCGAGCCCATCTCCAAGATTTTTTAAAATGTAAGGTCTTAAGGCCATATCTTCCAATTGGCACCTTTGTAAGTGACTCTTCTGTACCCTTCTCTGGCAAAATGCCCTCACTGTAATGAGAAGTCACAGCTCGAGGTGTGGCTCATGTGCTGTGTCTCTTCCCATCCCAGGGCTCTTTCCTTTACTCCAGACATGTGATCAGGTCTGCCTTAAAGACAGCAAGACCTAGAAAAACCGGGTTTCTGTGGTTCTCTTACATCACATTCCTGTACAATATCCGCTGAACAGGGTCCAGGAATTCCCACTCTTCTGGAGACAATTCTATGGCTACATTCTTAAATGTTAACAGCCCCTCGAGGTGTGGCTAATGTGCTGTGTCTCTTCATCCCAGGGCTCTTCTCCTTTGCTCCAGACAGGTGATCAGAATTGACTTATAGACAGCAAGGCCATAATACACCATAATTTTCTTCAGTACACCATGTCAGGGCGACAAAAACCAGTCAAGAGATATCCCCACAAAAAGCCAAAACTTTGAAAACATGATCCATTCTTCTAGGTCTCTCCAGAAAGAGATACTGAGAGTTGAAAGTTTTCTCTTGGGCTCAATGTGTTGTTCTGAAAAAGAGGAGATCAGGTGGTAGACAGTTTCCCAGTCATGTCTGGTCACCTTTATGGAGGAAAAAAAGATCCCATCTCCTGACTTCTGGGTGTCCCAGCGTCCTCCCTATGGACTCTCCAGACCTGCATGTCACAGGGCGAAAAAGGTAGAAGGAAAGACACGTCATTCTCTCCAAGATGATCCAGCACTTCTGCAGGCACAGGATACAAAAAATCCTTTCCCAGAGTAATCTTTAAACAAATACATCAGATCACATCATTTTCTTCCTTAGACCCTTGACTGTCTTTCCACGGTATTTAAAATGGAGAACTCAAATACTTTATGATACTTGCAAAGCCTTGCATGTTTACCTCTGTTTGCTTCTTCAAGTTTATCTTCTTCTGTGAGTCCCTCCTAACCCTTATCCCTTGATTACAGGTGCAGGACCACATATCTTTTCTCAGGATGTCCTTGAAAATACAGAGCTCAGCGGGGCTTGGTGGCTCAGCCTGTAATCCCAACACTTTGGGAGGCTGAGGTGAGTGGATTGCCTGAGCCTGTGGGTTCGAGACCCACCTGGGCAGCTTGGCGAGACCTCCTCTTTACAAGAAATAAAAAATTAGCTGGTCATGGGAGTGTGCACCTGTAGTTTCAGCTACTTGGAAGGCTGAGACGGAATTATCGCCAGAGCCCAGCAGGTCGAGGCTGCTGGGAGCATGCCACTGCACTCCAGTCTGGACGACAGAGTGAGACTCCAACTCAAAAAAGAAAAAAGAAAAAGAAAAAAGAAAAAGAAAATCAGAGCTCTGCGTTTCCCTTCAAGGACTCTTAGTTCCTCCTCGATGGCCTGCTGACTTCATTCTCAACCTTCAGGTCACAGGTTCACTGACCCCATCCAGAAGCTCTTAGTGATGGTGTTATCTGATGCTGTCCCTTTTTCACCGCAGTCACTGTCTATTGTATCACCTTATTTCTTCTACAACAGTTATCACCATTTGATATGATTTTTCACCTTATTTCTTCTACAACAGTTATCACCATTTGATATGATTTTTAAGATGCAATTATTTGCTACTGTCTATCTCCCCCTACTAGAGTATAAGCTCTGTGATGACAGGGTTCTGTCTATGTCTTCAGTGTCTCAGGAGATATTTGGCCACATTGCAGGGCAGGGTTAGTTTCTGTTGTGTGAAGAAGTGGGCTTAATCAAGGGATCTGAATTACACTCCCTAAGTGGGGTTCCCAGACTAGCAGCATCAGCATTGAAAAGAAAGACAGAGAGTCGAAAGCCATTTTTTATCTTGTTCCTAAACCTTAATCCCGTGATGAAAAAGTAGAAGCTATGTTTTGGAGAAATGCATACTTTAGATAAAAATTAACTTTTCTGACTTTGTCTTTTCAGAAACAAACTTCCAGGTATCAGAGGTGTCTCATAGTGGCAATCAAGCTTGCCTAGAGTAAAGGGAATTTACAAGGCCTAAGATATCACGCTTTGGGCAAAAGTTATGACAGCTCAGAGGGAGAGCAGGTGGAGATTCGATCTTCTAGTAAATTGGGCTCTATCTACAGGAAAGCCAAAGATCCTCTGAAGCTCCCCACTGGGAATGCCTAGGAGATAAGGGGACCCTCCATTAGCTGTAAGGAATGTCATTCGGGAAGGTGCAGGAGCACTGGAATCCTTGCCACACCCTTCTCTAGGGGCTGTGATAATATGGACAGACATTAATGGGTTTCTGCGTCACAGGATCTCCAAGATATTCGCAGGTGGTTGATACAGAAGTCACAGCAGTCATGTCTACCTGGTTGCAACATCTCCAGGGGAAAGGATTTAAGCCAGGACTTGGGGTGTCACAGTGTCACACTCGTCTAGAGTGTAGGTCTGCACCCTGTCTGTGGGGAGTGACTTTTTCTTAAACAAATCTTATCTTCCTTCACCTCTTTGTGTGTTGCAGTTCTCTGCATTACTCGCATCCCTGAGTTGCCAGCGCGTACCTCCAGCTTGCGGGCTCCCACGGTGCTGCGCCTCTCTCTCCATCCATCCATCCACCCTCACCCCATCCATATCCTCACAAGTATCACCTGGAAACTTGTTAGAAATGCACATTCTCAGGCTCCACCTCAGACCTCCTGAATTAGAAACTCTGGGAAGCCCAGAAATCTGTGTATCGAAAGTCCTTCTGGGAGATTCTGTTACATACTCATGTTTGAGGACCACTGAATTAGGGGAAGGTGAGCAGATTGTGGGAAACCAGTTAGGATGCTACAGTGCAGGACAGACCCTACTCTTCTTGACATTGTTTCCATGGTAGCCTTGACAGTGTTGTTGAAGATGATTTTTAGTGAGAATAAGTAAATACTTCATAATGTCAGAACACATTGCAAACAGAACCAATCCAGAGAAGCAAGGGTGGACTATGGTGTCTTTGAACCCATGGTGATAGTGGCTCTATTTCCACCACATGAGAAAAGTCTACCAACCCAAAGTGGAGAGGTTTGGAGCAATAAGATGGTATCCTTGATGATTTCCCTGGGATTGATCCTATGGCCACAATGAATCTTTTTAGGAGAGGTATACTGAAAAGTGAGTGACAAGACTCAACCCTATTTACTGACCCTGGTTGGAAGATCTTATTCTTTTGAGCTGACTGTCTTTCTCCTGGGTAAATAGAAGGCCAGTGCTTGCGTTCATGTCTTTCACCAAACAAAACTCAGACTACAGCATCCCACTCCAGGTGACAGAACATGTGAAAATTCAAAGTGGGTGTAGACCCAGTTTGAGAAAAATGCATTACCGATATGATAATTCCACATGTGAGAGGGTGGGAGCAGGGGCACAAGTGAGATCTATTTTCTTCATGGTTTTGATTCCTCTGAACAAACGAGATTTGATGAATTGTGGGAGGTGGAGGGCAGAAAAGGTGGTGTAGTTTTTTTTTTTAACCTTAAAGTTTATTTTTAAGAAATAGTGTAAGTAAAACTACTAAAAGAAATGATGACTGAATGAACAAACAATATGTGGTATGCACATCCAATGGAATATATCCAGCCTGAAAAAGAAAGGAAATCTTGACACATGATATGACATGGATTAACCTGGAGGATAGTATGGGGCGTGAAATAAGCTAGTCACAAAAGACACAATCTATATGATTTCATTCACACAAGGGGCCCAGAGTGTCAAATTCATGGTGACAGAATGTAGAATGTTTCTTACTGGAGACTGGGACAAGGGGGAAATAGAGAGCTACTGTTCAATGGGCACAGAGTTTCAGTTTGGGAAGGTGAAAAATTCTGGAAGGTGGTTGTACAACTGTTTTCAATGTACTTAAGACTACTGAATTGGGGTGAAAGGTCACACGGCACGGGGAGCTAGCGAGGGACTGGCAGCAGTGGGTCAGGGCGAGCGGCCTGCGGTGTGGCCCGTGGCAACCATGAGTTTACCCCTCAACCCGAAACCTTTCCTCAACGGCCTCACAGGGAAGTCAGTGATGGTGAAGCTTAAGTGGGGGATGGAGTACAAGGGTTACCTGGTGTCCGTGGATGGCTACATGAGCATCCAGGTTGCAAATACAGAAGAATACATAGATGGGGCACTGTCTGGACTCCTGGGTGAAGTTTTAAAAAGGTGTAACAATGTCCTTTATATCAGAGGTATTGAAGAAGAGGAAGAAGAGGGGGAAATGAGGGAAGAGCAGCTTCTGTGTGGTTTTTTAAATATATATTTCTAGACAATAAAGATCTGTTTTTTTTTTAAAGACTACTGAATTATATACCTAGATATGGTTAAGATGTAAATTTTGCATTTTGCAGTTTTTATCACAATAAGAAAAAATTAAGAGATATGATAATTTTGCCAGTTTTTGAATTCTTCTTACATTTTGGTTGGTTTATTTAAAGAAGATGTTTTTCAAATGAGTAGCAGAAGTTTTCAGCGAGCTGCCACCATAATTTCTTTTTCTTCCCAAGAAGATCTTGCCAAAAAAATTTTTGTTGCCTTTGTTTTTGTTTTTCCTGGTCGTAAATCTGTACAACTTTGAGGGAAGGAAGAAAATATTTATTGAGCATCTATTCTGTGCCTGACACTGTGCCTGGCTCTTTCACAAGTGTTACCTGTTGTAATATTCACAATGGACTGTTTAATTCCATTTTTAAGTACATAAAACAGAGGGTCAAAAGAGGTTTAGTTACTTACCTAAATCATACATGTGGTGATACTAATAAGAGTAACAACAATAAGAGTGCCTGGCATTTATGGAGAACTTACTATGTGCCAGGCACTTACTATGGGTAAGGGTTTTGCTCATTTAAATAATAGGGCCTACATTAAAATACGATTGTTGGATTTTCTGACTTCACCCCCCGCATTTGCAAATGAGGTGCCTGAGACTCAGAGAATTTCAGTGGTATGCCCAAGGTTACAGAGCTACTTGCCATTAGAGTTAGAACCATGAGTTGTATCAGTGCTATTTCTAATTCATATTCTTTGCTATCTCCTGACCAGGGAAAATGAGCATAAATCCTATTTAACTGGGAAGCACATTTTATTGGAGATTGTTCTTTCAAAGGAAATATTTAGTGAACTCTGGACCTGTTTATGGGTTGGTGTTTCCCTTTGGCATGAAATCTACCAGAGTCATCAAGATCAAGAATAAAGGGACAATAAATCACTTTCCTGGATATAATTTCAACTCTCAAGTAGTGCAGTCCATGTAACTTTATAAATTCTGAATTTTCTGGGTTGTGGATGAATGAAAAATTATTCCCACTTGTATGACCAGGTATTTTTTATGTGACGATGGGCATGTCTGGCTAATGGGAAGCAACCACATCACAAGAAAATAAGAAAGCTTAGGCATGAAGTCCTTGTTCAGATGAACTGGAAATTTTTCTGGGTTCCACACTCTGTCTTGTGATTAATTCTTTCTGGTTTCGAGTAAATGCCATCGACTTTCAGACCAAGGCCATGCATCAGCTTGAGCCACATTGCTTGTTCTTTCTGTGTCTTTCCTTGTCTGCTTCTTGCTTCTTCTAGGTTCGGAATGGTAACAACGTGTTTTAACTTTCGGATTCTTTCCTGGCATCAGAGATGAATAGAATCCACAGAAACCTCAACTTTTTTTTTCTTCCAATTTCCTGCCGGCATCCAGAGGAATTCAGATTTGGAATCAATACATGTCACAGAAGAATGAAACAGATGACTTGGTAACATGAAGATAAACTGTCTCTTTCCTCCCTCGGGTGTAACTTTTTCTAAAGTGATAACAAAAGAGGGAGCTTACCGTGGGTAGGAGATTCACCCTGCTTCCATATAACCAAACAGTCGACTGGTTTTACAACACAGGTTGTAAAGTAAATTCATCCAATGTTATTTATTTGCTTTTCAGCATGGAAAAAAATGGATCTGTTTCTATAGTGATTATATGCAGTATGTTGAAGGGAACGTCACTCAAAAATATTATCTTTTCTGTACTTTGAAACATATCATTGCTCTTTTTTCAGAAAAAGCAAATATATGTCTGCACATGCGTACACACACACACACACACACACACACACACACACACACTGTGTTTTATTAGCTCCTCTCCTCTCCCTCAGCATCCTGAAGGAATATATAGATAGTAAAATGCTGTTCACATAATTCAGCAACCTTCACTGTGGGTTTCTGTCAATATTTACTACCGATGGAACCTGGGGCTTCTTGCTAAGACTACTCCGGCCTCTAGTGAGAAACCTCTGTGTTCTGACTCTGATTTCAACACTATTCAATTTCCTGACTGTGGAAAAGGATTTCCACGAAATTTCCCCTTCACGAGCCCGGGATTGTAATAAATAAATGTTTCCTTCTCACCACCTCCGACCCCAAGGACCTCCTGGTGTCTGTGAGGATTCAGTAATATTTGTGAGAGAGTTTGTATCTAGGATTATCTCTTGTAAGTGTGCAGTTCAGGTCATTGGGTTTTTCATCTCTATTAAGGATTTATTTTCTTGGATCAAACCTGGATTTGACCTCTGAGAGGCTTAAATTTCTATCCTGTAACATCGTGTCTGAATCAGAAACACACTACTTCTGCGGGGGTTTTTTTTGGTCAAAAGTTAATCCTATTAATTTTTTTATAATCAGTTTTGATACTGTCCATCCTACTTTCCATTTGGGTTTCTGTCCCCTCTACAATCAGGGCAATTTCTCAAATAAGACCAGAGATTTACTCTTCTAATTCTCGGTTCAATGCTTGCTCCTGACCCTATATTGGTAGTAGGGGGGAGAAGATTGAAAAAGGCAAATGACTGATCCCTGAAATCTTACTTGTGGCAGAAGAACAAATTGTTGAAAAGAAATGTAATTTCTTCGAAACATGACATTCGGTTGGTTTGATCTTTTTCCTGGGTTGGCTTTTTTCTTTTGAGTGAGGACATGCCATGGTGATATTTGAACTTCACAAACACCTAAGAATAGTAGAAGAAACAGTCAGAATGAGAAGGACCAGTTCAAAACTATGGTCCAGGATTGAAGGCTTGAAAACTCACGTGGGAGCAGGGTAAATTCTATGGATACCTAGAGGACCAAAGTCAACATTCTCATCATTGACAAAGATATTCTTTTATTTCTAATATTCTAATATTTCCCTTGACATTTGAACAATATACATGGGGTCACTGTTATTCTGCTAAAAATTCTGCTGTGGCTTCCACAATTTTAGACCAGAACACCAAGTACTTACCACAACTGGGAAGGCCCTGCCTAACTTGGTCCTGCCTAATTCTCCAACCTCGTTTCATTTTCTCCTTGCTTACTACTCTCCAGTCACACTAACTTGCCTTAATTTTCTTGCACCTGTCAACTTTATTCTTGTCAGCAGATCTTTGGCCATGTTTTTCTTGCCTTGAAAGCTGTTTGTCCATTTGACTCTTGCTAATTCTTCAGATTTTAACTTAACATCACTCTCTTGGAAAGACCTCCCCTGTTAGTCTATTTCAGAGCGCTTTGTTCTTTTCATGGTACTTATAATTTGTAATTATATGTTTGTTGGGGCATATGATAAATATCTGTCTTCGTTACTGGATAGTAAGATTTGTAATGATAGGAAAGAGATTCGTTTTACGTACCATCAAACTTCCAATAACTGGCAAGTAGTAGGTACTCGAATAATTTGTGTGTTTGTATCTTGGGGCCAAGACCAAGATGAGTGGCTCAGATCCACATCACAAACAGCACAGAGCCAGGTAATGAGATACAACCAGGCAAGTTGTTAAACACCAGGAGATCCAATTCCTCAGGAGCAAAGTTGTATATCGAAGACTCAATAAATAGCACAGGAATAGGAAATTTGTGTGCTCTACACACAGAGGAGGAGTCCAGATAAAAATAATTGGGAAAGCTGATAGTGCCAGACTGGGTCAGAACCTTAGCAAAATAGTAGGTAATAGATACAGTGCACCAGCAACAAAAGACCACAACGCAGAAACAGTGTCCTTTCTCAGCAGGGAAGACTCTTATTGGAGAGTATTTGGATTTCGCTGCAATGATTATACTTACAAGAGCTTGCTGTGGGTCTTCTTTAGTAGTAACCAGGCCTGACGGGAACTAACATCCTATTGTGCTCTGCAGACTACCTGGAACATCGGCACTTGATGACTCACCTTGGCTGTGGGTGCTCAGTCTGCACAGTCCTTCATCCTAGCCAGAGTGTGCTGTGCAAACGCCGCGTGACCATTTTCAGTATTCACCATACAGTTTGTAATAATGACAGCTCCCTTCTATTCCCAAAGGCGTTTTGATTGGGTGATAGAATGTTCTCATCTTTTTTAAATGAGTTGTATCAGATTAAAAGATCCTGGGGGCTGAAAAGCCCACACAAGTAACAAAAAAGGGGGAAAAATCATTCAAGGCTGCTTTTACAAAGTGATTTTTTGGCTTTGTAAGGGCTACCAACCCTTATCAAGGAAGAGAGAGGCAAAAAAGAATGGTCTGACATTTTATTGGGTTGATGAAACAAAGGCTGAATAGGACATTGTAGACCGTTTTCAAATAATTTTCCTTTCTTGGGTAAAGTTATCAGCTTTAAATGAATGAATTACTGTTCTCATTATTGATCTATCTTTTTTCCCCTTAAGGTTTTTCTTCAAGTGTTCCACAGTAAAATACATGCAAAATCTAAAGATGAGATCAACCCAGTTTTCTCCTCCCAACCCATTTCTCCTACTTCAGTTTGTATTTTAATTTTGTTGGGAAAGAAGATTTTCTTTCCCTGACATAGAAGGGACCTGGTAAAGTGTATCCCCCATCCTGTGGCCCTAACTTTTGCCTGAGTGGACACCCTCTGGGGAAATGGTGGCCACTGAAAATGAAATAAACTGTAAGTTGTGGATGAGGATTGACTTTCCCAGGAGTAAGGTTTTTTTCAATGGGTGATCCAATATGGCAAAATCAGAGGGAGGAAAAAATAGCAACTGTTAAAATCTGGCCCTGAGTGAGCTCAAAACCATCAGCTCTGGAGCCTGGAGAATGGCCAGGATGACCTAGCTAGTTGAGTACCCCTTCCATGGCATAATAAGCACCTGAGGTGCCATAGATGCTAATACTTGAGTGCATCACGCTGTGCATGGCTTTGTGCATGGCAGGTCAGCACCGAAGGCTTGGTGTCCTGGGCACCCTGTAGAAACAGTTCTGAAGTGGTGATGAGATGGTCACGTAGTTCAAAAGAAAGGTAAAAGTGTTTAAACCGAAGGTAAGGAAGCCTGTCTGAGTTGCAGT